AATTTTTATTAAAACATTCAAGATCTCTTTTTCAATAGGTTGTTCCAAGTAGAAAAACATTTTTCTGGTCTGCCATCTTCCTTAATGGAGTGAAAAAATTGATTCCTTAATTATTATCACCGTGCCACGAGCAAGGGAGATAAAAATTCTAGAGCCCCGGCAACATTCGAACCTATGGCCACCCAAATCTCTCTATTCAGTGAGCAACGGAGAAACTCTAAGTGCTAAGTTAATATTTTGGTCTCAAGAATCTCCAAATTTAATTTACCGAGCTTTGAATTTGCCATCTGCGCATGCCCCGCCAATATCTAGAGCTATACGTTCCCCTTCCCTGATATATTCTGTAGTCTATATGACGTTAAGCTGGAAACTGCCGTGAAGCAAGGAACAAGATACAGAAAAGCCAAAAACATCGAGGAGTGCGCGTGTCCTCCGGAATACACTGGTACATCTTGTCAGGTGTGTCTATCATAATGTAAAAAAAGGTCAATTACACATCGGCTTTCATTCGTTCGCCACACTTATGTATCACCTATCTCTCATTTCATGCCTTATTAACTTCTTTGGTGGAAAACCCTTTTTTGGTTTGGTCAGTGTTAATAAAGTGCAATACAATGGATAAGAAGTCCTTTAGCCTACTTTGGCATTTTTATCTATTTATGGATTTATTTATTTATTATTATTATTATTTCTTTTTTTCTGGTTAGCTATTTTTGTCTTGACCTTGCACAACTTTCAACGACATTCCTATCTTTATCAAGTGACTGAACCAACAAAAAAAAGGGACATTTTAAATTTATGGAGTCGCAATTTGTGAACAAAGAGAAAGGATTATGCAGGGTCAGACAGTTCCCAACATAAATGGAGGCACCGTTTGTTTTGATTTTGGTGTTTGTCAACTTTTAAAAACAATCTCCTCTACCAACTATCGATAGTGTTTGTTTACCAGTTTCAGACTGCATGTTGTGAATATGATGGACATTTTCTTTTTAAGTGTCTGATTCACAAGGCGAAGAAATGTATTCCTTGAAAACTCAACTATCTGCTCGTAGAACTGGCCGAAGTTTTGAAACTCTTCTGTCTGAATACAAGATATTTTTGAAACACTTTTTCCATAGTTGTGTACTCTCTACCCTAACGTCCACAATGACAAAAACCTGTAAAGTAAAAATCACATTGAGTCTACCATGATCTAATCACCAGTGTGTTCATTCTGCAGCAATGTGCGTGAGGATATATGCGCTTGTACCCGGGTCCAGACTTCTCTCCTTGCGTACTGTGTTCCTATAATAGGCATTCAAAGGAATGTCACCCTGAAAATGGCCAGTGTTTGGTGAGTATTTATCTTTGCTCTCTTTGTTAACAATCCACAAATCGCATAAAAAAAGAAATAATGTTGAAATCTCACCAAAACGTGCAAACTCATCCTAATCGACGTGAAGAAAAGTCCAATATTACTTTTTTTTTCAGCAAAACAGGGATCTAACTCTATGACGCCCCCAGTCAGTAAAATAATCCAGTTTCGTGTTGGCTATCGCCTGTTTGAATAAAATAAGTGAAGACGCATTTTTTAATAGACGTAGCCGCCATCTAAAGTAAACATGTTCTCAAATTCCATCGAGAAGAAGATCTGTTTATAGGTCTGTCAAAAGACCTCTTTATCTTGTATGTTTTGTTTCTCCAATACAGGTCATGTGATAATACTCTAGAGAACTGTTTCTTTTAAATTTCGTCTTACTCACATACACATGTACGCATAACCTATGAGAAGACAAACGGTGAAGTTCTCCTGTGACCTCTTTTGGGAAAACAAAACATACAAGAAAAAGAGGTCTATTAATTTGTGTATTTTAAAATTTCCGGAATTTGTAAAGGCAGTAGAACTTCGATATAACAAAGGGCCAAGAGACTGGCAAAGTTTGTTCGCTGTAACGAGGTTTCGTTATGTCGCGGCTCTTTTTTCATATATTTAACTACTACTGGGACAAAGAAAATCATGCGTTATACCAAGGACTTCGTTATGTAGAGGTTTTTTATATCGACGTTCCACTGTATTTTACTTTATGTCGAGGCTAACCCTGTATGAAAGTCTCCTTAAAAGGATCAACATGTAAAGGGTGACGTGAACATGTAAAGGGTGAACAAAGGAAATAATTAACCCAAGGATAAAACCAAACCACAATCTAAACGTTGCCTATTAAGATTCCGGCCTCAGATGTCCTGTTTTTTCTAAGCCTTGGGTTCCGAGGATGGTGGTTATTGCATCGAACCTATCATCAAGCTACGCTAGGAAGTCATTATGGAAATTCACACAATGTAAACCACTCTTGTCTCACCTTATTTACTCTTACTTGGAGAGTGTGACCTGATTTTGATCAATAGTGCTGATGTAACTGTTTAACAGGTTTAGCAGAATTTGTAAGCTAGACACGGACAGCAGACCAACGTGTACCTCATGTCAACCTGGTTATATTGGCAGGAACTGTAAAAGGTATGGGGATAATTCTTCTGAGTCCCGTTCCTAAGAGATATTTCTTTCTTTCCCTTTTAATGTATTTTTTGGCTTGCTTCTTGTTGTTGTTGTTTTTTGCTGTTCCTGCCGTTTTTTTTTTTTACGTATTCGTTGTTTGTTTTTCTTAACTATCAACTTAGTCTAGAAGAACAATTAGGAGATAATTCTTTGGTCCACCCATCAATGCATTACATTATCGTCACTATAGATGAGGCCAAGTGCTCCTTTTTAGTGGTGTAACCGGTTTGGCAGGATTGCGACAATGTCAGTCTATGTTCGTAACTATGCACGTTCTATCTCCTGTCGCTTTCATTGTCCGACAATTGTTAAAATTCCGGTTCACTGATTCGGTCAATACCAGGTTAATTTTGTTTGTTTGCGTGTTTGTTTTTGTTAATCGTTTTACACGGCGTTTTAGGTGCGAAAAGGGATACTTCGGAAATCCTTCAAAAGTCGGAGAGAAGTGTACCAAGCTACCAGGTAACCAGTAAAACTAGAGACTAACTTGCTTACAAGACACAAGCGGAAACACGAAGATTTTAACCCCCCCCTGTAACATAACCATTGAAACCCTGCCCAAGGGTTTAATCAGTCTACCCAATAAAAACGTGGCCTCCCCGATACTTTGCGAATAGTTGTTTCTATCCGGCAATTTTTTTGCTTTTTCCCTTTACTTTCTGTTAGCAAACCAGTGTGTTTCGTCAAAAGAAGCGAAAATCAGTATAAAACATTATTATTATACCATTGAGGTACAGGGTACACGTAAACGATCTCGCACAAAAAGTCTAAACCTTTTATTTCTTCTCGCCTGAGCAATATGTAAAAGGTTTTTAAGGGTTTCATACTGATAAAGTTGTAAGAATTGCCACCCCTTCTAGCTTTTTTGGGAGTTACACAACTAAGAAAAAACCCAGTCGAAAATAAGCCAACCCGGTGACGTTTTCAACGAGAAAAAGGGGAAGATATAGATTTTACTGGGTCTGTTACAGAGGGGCATATTTTAAGTCACCTTTAAGGACTTTTCTTAACTTGTTGAGTTCGAGGTACGAGAACGCAACCCCTAATTTGTGTTGGGTGTTCTGTGCGTTATTGGGTGTCCTGTGCAATTAATAAGGGAGGTTTTTTGGAGATTGCATTCGTCGTCGTCGTCGACACACATTTGCCTCACTTTGACGCGCTAACTCATGTGGTGATTCGTGTGTCCTCGGCGTTCATCTTTCAAACGTTTGCTGAGGTCTGCTATTCTGTCTTCGTAAATCGTTCATCTTTTAAAAGTGTGCTGAATCTTCGTAAAGCGTACATATTTAAGAGTTTGCTTTCTATATGACGTTAAGCTGGAAACCGCAGTGAAGCAAGGAACAAGATACGAAAAAGCCAAAAACATCGAGGAGTGTGCATGTCCTCCGGAATACACTGGTACATCTTGTCAGGTGTGTTTATCATAATGTAAAAAAAAGGTCAATAGTCCACTTTCGAGTTCGCTATGACCGCTGAATTAAAGAACTCAAGACGCATTTTTACAGCCTTAGTCTCAATCTGAAGTAATAAGTTCACAAATTCCAACGAGAAAAAGACCTGTTTATTACTCTGTCTATTGTGTATATTCAAATTTCAAACACTTACTTGCCAGAATTTCTGAATATTTTACTTTACGTCAAGGCTAACCCTGTATGAATGTGTCGTTAATGTTTATATTCAGCGGTAATTTATAATTCGAAACTGGACTATTACACATCGGCTTTCATTCGTTCGCCACACTTATGTATCACCTATCTCTCATTTCATGCCATATTAACTTCTTTGGTGAAAATCCCTTTTTTGGTTTGGTCAGTGTTAATAAAGTGCAATGCAATGGATAAGAAGCCCTTTAGCCTACTTTGGCATTTTTATCTATTTATGGATTCATTCATCTTTATTTATTTATTGTTATTATTATTTCTTTTTTTCTGGTTAGCTATTTTTGTCTTGACCTTGCACAACTTTGAACGACATTCCTATCTTTATCAAGTGACTGAACCAACAGAAAAAAGGGACATTTTAAATTTATGGAGTCGCAATTTGTGAACAAAGAGAAAGGATTATGCAGGGTCAGACAGTTCCCAACATAAATGGAGGCACCGTTGTTTTGATTTTGGTGTTTGTCAACTTTAATAAACAATTTCCTCTTCCACCTATCGATAGTGTTTGTTTACCAGTTTCAGACTGCATGTTGTAAATCTGATAGACATTTTCTGTTTAAGTGCCTGATTCACAAGAGTGTGAACAAAAAGGCAAAGAAATATATTCCTTGAGAACTTAACTATCACCTGGTAGAACGGGTGGAGGGTTTGAAACTCTTCTGTCTGAATAAAAGATATTTTTGAAACACTTTTTCCATAGTTGTGTACTCTCTAGCCTAACGTCCACAATGACAAAAACCTGTAAAGAAAAAGTCACATTGAGTCTACCACGACAGTGTATTGATCTAATCACCAGTGTGTTCATTCTGCAGCAATTTGCTAGTGGGTATACGCGCTTGGACCCGGGTCCAGAGTTCTCTCCTTGCGTACTGTGTTTCTGTAATGGGCATTCAAAGGAATGTCACCCTGAAAATGGCCAGTGCTTGGTGAGTTTTATATTTGCTCTCTTTGTTAACAATCCGCAAATCGCATTAAAAAAGTTTAGAGCGTCTGCGACGCAGGCAAAAAAAGAAATAATGTTGAAACCTCACCAAAACGTGTAAACTCATCCTAATCGACGTGGAGAAAAATCCAATATTATTGTTTTGCTGATCTTTTTAAATGAATGTTCAAAGGTATTGTATTTCTCACAAGCCATTTTGAAACAATAACAAAAAATGGATCTAACTCTATGACGCCCCTACTCAGTAAAATAATCCAGTTTCGAGTTGGCTGTCGCCTGTTGAATGAAATAAGTGAAGGAGCATTTATTTTTTACAGGCGTAGCCTCCATCTGAAGTAAACATAAATTATAGGACGTTGTATGAGAAATATTCTTTGCTCACTAAATTAATAAAATGTGCATTGAATATCGCCCTGAAGCTCACCTTTAGCCTTTTCTTGTTTTTCTTTGTGTTCTGAATACATTTCAGACCTCCTAGGCACTGTTTAATGCCTTTTTTTGAGCGACAGTTTTTGACCCAGACGACAGTATGGTCATATTAATTCTTTTAAATTTCATTCTTAAAATCGCACTTGTAGAAATGTCTATCGTGTTTATAAAAACCTTGCACTCGCTTGTTTTATATGTAATAATATTGGTTATCTACATTCTTTTTGATAATTATGTATTTATTACTATTTCCTTGGTTGCGAATTCCAGGCTTGTGATCACAATACCGCAGGCGTCAAATGCGAGAAGTGTGCTGTTGCTTACTATGGCGACGCCACCAAAGGAACGTCTAAAGACTGTGAACCGTGTCCGTGTCCTCTGATGACCCCATCCAATCAGTAAGTACCTCAGAGATCCGGTTAACTCCTGCCCACCCATGAGAGGCCCATGGGAGCTCTTTCTTGTCCAGCTTCAATTTTATCTTTGCAATCCTTTTTAATACGGTAATTTATGAAAATGATTTTAAATCAAAGGAAAAAATTAACCCAAGGATAAAACCAAAGCACAATCTAAACGTTGCCTATCAAGATTCCGGCCTCAGATGTCCCGTTTTTTCTAAGCCTTGGGTTCCGACTATGTTGGCTATTGCATCGAACATATCATCAAGCTACGCTGTGAAGTCATTATGGAAACTCACACAATGTAAACCACTCTTGTCTCACCTTATTTACTCTTAATTGGAGAGTGTGACCTGATTCTGATCAATGGTGCTGATGTAACTGTTTAACAGGTTCAGCCGAATTTGCAAGCTAGACACGGACGGCAGACCAACGTGTACCTCATGTCAACCTGGTTATACTGGGAGGAACTGTGAAAGGTATGTGGATAATTCTTCTGAGTCCCGTTCCTGAGAGATATTTCTTTCTTTCCTTTGTAATGTATTTTTTGGCTTGTTTGTTGTTGTTGTTGTTTTTTTGCTGTTGCTGCCGTTGTTTGTTTGTTTTTTTCTTCACGTATTCGTTGTTTGTTTTTCTTAGTTTTCAACTTAGTCTAGAAGAGCTTTTATTTGTTTATCCAGGACCGGGGTGTTCGAAGTTGGGTTAAGATAACCCAGGGTTAGTGCGAAATTTAAATTCAGATATGAAAGCTTAAAAAGTACATTCAGTTTAATTCTTTTTGTCAACAAGTTGTTGATTGGATGCTCTTAAAAATAACAGAGAAAACTGTCCGAGAAAATGCTTTTGAAACAAAAGAAACAGAAAACCAGGTTAAATTTAACGCTGGGTTAAGCGCTAATCGGCCTTCGAATAACTGGGCCCAGGAGATAATTCTTTGGTCCACCCATCAATGCATTGCGTTATCGTCATTGTAGATAAGGTCAAGTGCTCCTTTTTAGTGGTGTAACCGGTTTGGCAGGATTGCGATAATGCCAAAGTCTATTTTCGTAACTATGCACGTTCTATCTCCTGCACGCTTTCATTATCCGACAATTGTTAAAATTCCGGTTCACTGATTCGGTCAATACCAGGTTAATTTCGGTGAGGGTAAAAGGCGGAATGAGTTTGCGGAATGGCATGTGGCATGGCTTGCGGAATGACATAATTATGCGGAATGTAAAATATAGAAAATGGCGCAAAGAAATAAATTAAATTGAAAAACATGTGCGCGTCTTTGCCGCGCCTTTTTTGGCGCCAATTTGAGTGAGCAACTTTTTTGCTGGTTCATTTATTACTGCTGGCTTAAACCAAAAAGGCAGAGCAGAAAGTAGCGATAAGCTTTACTGCATTCGTGTATTTGTAATACTTAATTTATTTTTGTTGCTTTAGACAATACTTTTCCTCTTTCTGCCCACCATTATAATAAAGTCAAATGTCAAAACGCTAGAGGGAAAAGAACGCTCGTCGAACGTGAAGTCGGGCTAGCTACAATTCTAGGGATTATTAATTAATACGGTGGACGAATCAGAAAATATTGGAGACTAAATGAACGCCCCGAGTCAAACATTAATCTGTACTCCAGAAATCGAGTGAAGTGAACCGCTCTTGTCTCCTTTCGGCCCTTCCGTGTGTCTTCGCACCTTCCTTGTTTGTGTGAGTCTGTGAGTTTGATCGTGAAAAAATACTAAAACGGTAGGAAGGGAAAAAAAAGAAAAACAGACAAACACTCAATTGCCAGGATTCGAACTCGCTCTTCTCCTCCAGCTGTCAGCTTCGCTTGCAGGAAACTTAACCAAGCAGCTAAGGAGACAATCTGCAGGATCCGTTTCATCTTTGAATATCATGATCACTTAACCCACCGTCTGAGAAAGAAACACTTCTCACGCGGTTGCAAATACAAATATAGGTACAAGGAAACCGTAAAGTTAATTGTGCGAACATCTTTTGCACAAAAAATTAAAGCAGAAGGGAGCGCGACCTTCCAAAACACCTTTTCTTCAATGGCCGACTTTCGTGCTGTAGTATCGGTGCTGCCATGCAGCCCGACTAATAAAGGCAAGAAGAATCTTTGAAGCTGTGCGGAAAATGCTAATCGACAATTAGCCTTCGTGGATTTTTGATTGTTATCGTGCAACATTAAAACAGCTGCTGCGTTTGCAAATTGATTGGCGCAAAAAAGGGCGCACTTTTCAGTTTAATTTATTTATTTGGGTCATTCTGCATATATTACATTCCACATAACTATGTCATTCCGCAAGCCATGCCACATGCCATTCCACAAACTCATTCCGCCTTTTACCCTCACCGGGTTAAATTTTGTTTGTTTGCTTGTTTGTTTTTGTTAATCGTTTTACACGGCGTTTTAGGTGCGAAAAAGGATACTTCGGTAATCCTTCAAAAGTCGGAGAGAAGTGTATCAAGCTACCAGGTATGTAATTATCGAACCAGTAAAACTAGAGACTAACTTGCTTACAAGACACAAGCAGAAATACGAAGATTTTAACACCCCTCTGTAAGGATACGATCAATTTTACAGTTCTGGATGACTTACAATACCAATCCTTCGAAATGCTTTGCGCAAAACTTAGACCGGCTCGTCTCCCAAGGGGATGCAATTCTATTGTAGTTGGGACCCTTTATCATCTGCCAAGCGCCAGTGAACCAGCGATAATGGAATATTTAATCAAGTGCTTATCAACCATTGCATCGTGCTATCCCAACTGTGGTATTCTGATTGCTGGGAATTTTAACAGATTGCAAATAACACGCCTCCGAAACAATTTCCAGCTAAAGAAAATCGTCCACTTTCCAGCACGAGGTAGAAGGACACTCGATTTAATCCTTACAAATATTTCTGAATACTATCAGGATCCCATTGAACGCCCGCCTTTCGGTTTATCTGATCACGCCTCAACTGAGCTCCAACCGAAAGAAAGAGCACATGTGAAGCAACCTACTATCACCATTATAGCGAGGTATTTGCGCCCCAGTAAGCGCCAAAAAAATGGGCACCTATTTGGAAGCTGTGGATGTGTGCACCATGACTTGCGCCTTAGAAACGTGCGGGAAAAGGTCTCGCTCCTGGAAAAGATTATAACAACAGGACTTGATCATATTCTTCGCATTCAATCCCGAAGGGTGTACTCTACCACACTCAAACAACTGATTCAAGCACGTCAGTGCGCCCTTTCCCTCGGGGATAATCAATAGTTTCGGGAGATAAGGAATCGTGTGAATCGCGAACGGAAAGCGTGTCGGGCTAAGTACTTTCAAGCAAAGGTAGAGCACTTGAGGGAGTGTAAGCCGTCCGCGTGGTGGAATGAAATCAAAAAGCTTAGCCGCTGTTCCCCGGCTTCCACGGAGAGATCTTACGTCACGAAGTCCCTACAACACCTGTATGGGCCTTCAGATGACATCACTCTTGCCATAATCATCAATAAGGCCGTTCTCTCGCCCATGCGTAGTTCCATACCGCTCCCTTCTGATTACGTCATACTTCCCACTAACAACGCAACTCAACAACCTAGCTGCGCTTGTTGTATCAAACGAGTCGGTTTATAAGAAAGTGATGAAACTGAACAGAAACAAAGCGCATGGTCCTGGTGGCATCCCGGGGTGGGTATTGAAAGAAAATGCAGATTTACTGGCAGCGCCGATAGCAGATATTCTCAATTCATCTAATCGCGAAGGTCGTCTCCCACCCTCATGGAAAGAAGCAGATGTTGTGCCGGTGACCAAGCAAAGACCCGTGCAGGACATAAACAAACACCTTCGACCCATCTCCCAAACACCAATCCTGTCAAAGATAGCGGAAGAGTACGTTTTCGACACTTATGTCAAGCCTGCTGTCCTCTCAAAGATCGACCCACAGCAATTCCGAACGGTGCCCAAATCCAGCACTACGCGTGCATTAATCAGTATGATTCACTCTTGTGCGAATTCAACGGATGGAAATAGATCGACTACGAGAGTTGTACTCTTTGACTTCCGGAAAGCATTTGATTTGATTGACCATCATGTTCTGGCGCGGAAGCTCTCCTCCTATGATATTCCAAGGTCGATTTCGCGCTGGATCACAGACTTTTTAATGGGCCGTAAGCAAAGGATAAAACTGAGCCGCGATTGCTTCTCGGAGTGGGAAGCTGTTCCTGCAGGGGTCCCACAGGGGACGAAACTGGGACCGTGGCTGTTCCTTATCATGATAAATGATCCTTCTGTAGCAGACAAAACTCTTTGGAAATACGTTGATGACACCACTCTTGTCGAATCAGTATCGAAGAACGGGACTAGCTACATGCAGTTACGCGTAGATGAACTTGTACGACAGTCAGAAGCTGATGGCTTCCAACTCAACGAGTCTAAATGTAAAGAACTGAGAATATCATTCTCTAGATCAGGAAGTTCTGTAGATTATATCACTACCAATGATAAGCAAATCGAAGTTGTCTCGTCCGCAAAGCTGTTACGAGTGGTAGTTTCGGACAACCTCAGGTGGAACGCGCATGTAGAATCTATATGCAAAAAGGCTGCGACGCGCCTGTACTTCGTAAAACAGCTAAAGCGCGCTAAGGTTCCACCCAAGGATATGGTACTTTTCTATACAACAAGTATACGCCTTATATTAGAATATGCGTGCCCAGTTTTTTCATCATTCTTTGCCGCAATATCTGTCTAATGAAATGAAAAGGTTGCAAAAGCGCGCGTTGAGGATCGCACGCAACGGGTCCACTTATTGCACCCGTAGCCAGAGATATTTCAAACTACCGATTTGTAAGACAAATAGCTAGGTTTAAAAACACTTTTATTAGTAATCTTAATTATTAGTATTTTGGTGTTGATACTTCTCCTTTTTCATTTTATTGTAGGTTATATTTTACGGTTTTTATAGTAGTTATCATATATTTATAGATAATTTTTGGTTCCATTGTAAAGTAAGTCACATTTCGGCCGGCCCGGGGGCTGCAACGATTTTTCTTCTTAATAAAGGTAACTATCTAACCATTGAAACCCTGCCCAGTGGCTTAATCAGTCTACCCAATAAAAACCTGGCCTCCCCGATACTTTGCGAATAGTTGTTTCTACCCGGCAAATGTTTTGCTTTTTCCGTTTACTTTCTGTTGGCAAACCAGTGTGTTTCGTCAAAAGAAGCGAAAATCAGTAGAAAACATTATTATTACCATTGAGGTACAGGGTACATGTAAACGATCTCGCACAAAAAGTCTAAACCTTTTAGTTCTTCTCGCCAGAGCAATATGTAAAAGGTTTTTAAGGGTTTCATACTGATAAAGTTGTAAGAATTGTCACCCCGTGTAGCTTTTTTGGAAGTTACACAAATAAGAAAAAACCCAGTCAAAAATAAGCCAACGTGACGTTTTCAGCGAGAAAAAGGGGAAGATATAGATTCCACTGGGTCTGTTACAGAGGGGCATATTTTAAGTCACCTTTAAGTACTTTCCTTGACTTGTATGATATGATTGTTACGATCATCTGAAGACGTCAGTTCTATCCCTATGATTGCGATCGCCTCATATGCCCCTGCATTGCACCAGACGTGTTTCTGTCTAATCGTCCGCCTATTGCCTGCATATATATTAAGACGACTTGCGCGATTAAGACAGTTCTGACGCTGGTCATATTCCACCAGGCTAAATGGTGCGTATTTACCTTACTTCATACCATGGCCAAACAAATAAAACAGGTGAGTTATTTCTTTGTTTATAGTGGGATATCTACCAACTGTCAGAATCAGGCCTATGGAGCGCATCAAGGAGGAAGGTAAAAACGCCGTGTTTTATTGCTTTGCTTTGCGTTTTACCACACACGTTCAAACCTGTTAACAACCTGATTTGTTGCGAGATAGGTTTGATGTGGGTGGTAAAACGCGCAACATCGCTATTCAACTCGTTTTGCAGCAATTTTGCACGACAAGTTTCACGTCTTTTGTTTCCCATTTTTCCGTACCTCAAGCCTCGCCTGTTACATTATTAATATTTTCCTTCAGTTGACTAAATATAAAAATATCACATTCGAACATCCCGCAGGCGACCACGCAAAATGTCAAGATTTTTGTTGTCGCCTACGAGGATCAGCAACTCAACGGTCGAACAGGTTTTCAGTAGAACAGGCACCCAGATATGCTTTTACTGGGTAGGAAATCCCATATGAACTCGGCTAAGATGCCCCTCCCCTTGTTTATGGGGTGTAAATCGTAGATTGTGGTATGACTCGAGGTTTTTAAGACAGAAGTCCGACATTGTTCCAATGAAGATATGGTTAATAATTTAGATTAAATGCTTGCCACCTAGTCTATATTAGGTGGTCATTTGATTGAGTAAACTTAACCTTTTAAAGAAAAAATAAACGAAAGTGCAAAATATTTAGGGTAAACAGATTTTCGCCTTAACTCATGGCGAGTTACCATTCAAAATACTCCATTTAATCTTGTTTCTCGTTGTAACATATTTATACATATATATGTCAAGTTTAGTAACGGTTACCAGCTGTATGGATTAGTGGAGTTCTGTCGTGTAATTTAGTTTTTTACCTTCCTCTATAATTCAGTATGGTTAATGGTTATATTTAGTATGGTTAATATAAAGGCCGCAAAAGCACTTATTTTTCTTTTGTACTGACAAGTCCGAAAGTGTCTATTTCACCCGTGCTACTGAGCGTGCTCGAAGGAGACTCGGCTCAATTTCGCTGCTCAGCCATTGGATTTCCCGCTCCAGTCCTCCAGTGGCACGGTGGTCCTAACAGTAAACTACCATCAGAAGCAATATTGTCTAATGACAATGGGCTTCTTACAATTCCTAAAGTAGAGAAGATACATGAAGGAAAGTACTTTTGCACCGCATTTCCGGTACTAGCGCGTTTCTGAATGTCTCCGGTAAGAAATTGATCCTTAATTGTTCTTCATTTGTTCTTTGATTTCCTTGATTCTTTCCCAGGGGTTACAAACAATAAATAAAGCTTTGAAAAATTGTTAGGTTAACACTGAAATTTTAAAAAAGATCATCTCCATTCCATTGCTTTTGAAGTTTTGAGCAGTTATTTTTTTCTTTCGCTCGATTTGTTTTTTGATAAATTTCGTGAAGTAGCTCCCTTAAGCAGAAAATAAACACGTTTTCTACTCTGTGCCAACACGGTTCCCAGAGTTCTTACCCCCCTACTTGCCCCTCCCCCCTCTCCCTCTCTCTCGCCAGCATTAACACTTACTTCTCACTTCGGGCAAAATGTTGGCTTAGGGAAGGGGTAGGTGCCGTGGGCAGTTTCCCAGAAACGTATAATGATCCCTGGGAACGATGTTTATTTCTTGCATCAGTTATTTATCATCTTTTTAACAGCCGGTGGTAGCGTCCCTGTAATCTCAGTCACTCCCAGCACTCTCAATGTTATAGAAGGTGATGAGGCGTTATTTGAATGCCTTGCTGTTGGAGACCTGACCCCTACAATTCGCTGGTCACGTGAGAAAGGTCGGCTTTCCTCGTCATCTTCGTCCGAGAATGGCGTGCTAATCATTTCATCAACGAAGCTTGAAGACGCAGGAACTTACTTTTGCAGAGCTGCGAACAAATTCGGAGCCAAGGCTACACCTGTAACATTGAATGTTGAAAAAGGTATTAATTTAGGCCCCGTTCATACGTATCAGGAAATTTTTGAATCCCCAACTTTTTCTTTGTGAATTCGGCTTCTGTCCACACATATCCGTTGTATCCGGCATACGTATCCGTTCGCCAAACTGGAAATTTTTGAATATGCTATGAATCCGGAATCGCGTGGACGCTAATTCCAGATATGTTTTTATCCAGTGACGTCACAACATCGAGCCCCGTTCTTTACCAGGAATATTCAAGACGGTGCCAAGCGAAATGGGTTATCGCTTCTACACTTCTTGGACTTCAGATTCAAGTCATAACTTGTGTACTGTTAAACCTAGCTATGATTACTTGACACTTCAATTATGCCAAACGGCGGCTCGACATTTTGAAGCTTCTTTCCAGGTCGGACGGACGAATTTGGACTCCGTAAACAAGTTAAACGAGCGAAATAGTATTTCGCGACAATTTTGTCAGTGAAACAGTTATTGAAGAAGATTGGCAATAAAATTTTCGCATGAGACGAAGATCGCTGTACAAATTAGCTGACGAACTGAGAGTGAATCCCAATACGTGTGGACGTGGGCAAATTAGATTTGAGTACGGATACAAGTGG